TATTTTTTGAGCTAAAAATAAAAAATATTTGTTAGTAAAATTAAAAACTTTTATATGTAAGGAAAAATACATATTTTACTAATTATAATTAGTAAAAAATTTAAGCGTTGCATTATTTTTGATTGCCACTGTATATAATTAAATCTATTATATTAAATTAATCAGATTTGATTAATTTATTTAATTAGTTATTTAATAAATATTATTTTAAATAATTTATTAATTAAATGAGTTTATCTTTTTTACTTTTGAGAATATATTCTTAAAAGAATATTTATATTTTGATTAGTTTTTTCAGCTTAATAAATAATAATAAAGTTATATTTTATTATGATTATTATTTAATAAGAAATTCTAAATCTAGAATTAATTTATTTAGTAAATAACTATCAAAATATATTATAATTAATAATAATTTCAAAAAGAAATTCAAGAAAATAATACTAAAATTATTTAATAATTCAAACTATAGTTAAAGCTTCTTTTTTAGTAATATTATAATTTTTTTTAGCTAATTTTAATAAAATACTTGTACAGTATCATCTTAAAAGTCATGGACTATCTTTTTAATTTTTAATTAATTATAAATAAATTCATAACCATATATCTTATAGTCATGAAATTTATATTATTATTAGCACATATTATAAATAATATTTTTGCAAAATTTTATTATAGATTAAATAATAAAATATTAAACTTACTTAGAATATATTTATATGCTACCAAAAATTGGTAAATAGAATTTTGTGATATCAATATTTAAAATTATTCTAAAAAATAATTTACTTAATAATATCTTATAATTTTATATTCATTATAAAGAATATAAATAGTACTATAAAATACAAAAAAGTTTTTGTAAATAACTTACTTACTTAATTACTAAATTATTGAATTTTGAAAATAATCTATATATTTTAACAGATTATTGCTGTAAATCTAATTATATATATATATATTCATATATATTATTACTTAAATATTTATTTGAAAAGTGTTTGATACTTTTAATTATCATATATATTTACAAAAATATTAATTTTTTATTATACTTATTAGTGAATATGACTAAATGAAAAGAACTAACTAAATTTAAACATGAAGTTATTATTGATAAATAACTATTTTGATACTCAAAATGTGAAATTGAGAAGAAAACTAGTTATTCAAAAATAATTATTTATTATATTATTAAAAAATATTATGAAACTGATATAACAACTTCTTTTTTATATAATAAAAGATTATCAGTTTTAATAAATAGAGATAAATATTATCTTGAAATAATTATTTAATCTAATTGCTAATAAATTACAAGACAAGTTCATCAAAACTTTGTATAATTATCTAAAACTATTATCAGTCTTTCAACAGTTAAAAGAACATTATATGATATAGGATATAATAGTTAAATTGCTATCAGAAAATTATTTATATTATCAAAAAATAAACAAAATTAATTATAATAATGTCAAGAATACAAGAAATAGATAATTAAAAATTAAAAAAAAATAATATAAAATGATGAATCTTATTTTACTTTATTTTAAAATGATAATAGAATTTGAATTTGAAGATTGTAGAAAGAAAAATATGATATTAATTATATAATTCCAATTATTAAGCATGATAATAGTAAGATAATAGTATGAAGTTGTTTTACTTGAAATTACTTAGAACTATTAATAAGACTTAAAGGAATAGTTAATAATCAAAGATATATAGAAGAAGTCTTGAAAAAATATTTGATATTATTTATAAAGAACTTTAGAGAAGAAATTAATAAATATTAATTTTAACAGTATAATACTCTAATTTATAAAAGCAAAATAATAATGATATTTTTTGAAAATTCAGAGATTAATATGATGAAATAGTTAGAACAGAGTTTAAATCTTAATCTAATTAAATATCTGTAAGATAAATTAGAATATTCTATTAAAAAGTAAGAGTCATCATCAAGAAATGAGAGTAAGTTGGCTATATTTCTTCAAGAAGAATAGAAAAATATCCTAACTAGTATATATCAAAATCTTATTTTAAGTATAAATAATAGAGTAAAAGTAGTTATAAAGACTAAAGACTATGCAATTAAGTATTGATGAATATTATAATTATTTTTTATATTTAATTATATATTATATTAAAATTTAATAAAAAATAAATATTATTTTTATTTTTTCTTTCTAAAATCTTAATAAATAATTTATATTAATAATAATAATATTTATTATAATATTAATAATTAGTTTTTCTTTTATTTATTTTTAAACTTATTAAATTAAGAAAATATTACTTATTTTAAATATATTTAATTTATTAATATTAAATAACTTTATATTAACTTTTTTTATATAAATTTTTTTTGAAAGCTTAGAAATTTTGTACTATATTTAATTTTTTAATACTCTTTTTTATTTAGTAATTAATATAAATTTTCACTTAATATAATAAATTTTTATTATATATTTAAGTCAAGTATTTTATAATTATTACAAATTATGACTAATATAAGTGAAAATTTATATAAAATATATACTAAACAAGCAAAGAACTAATGTAATTATAATATAATTATATTTATCAGTTTATAATATATATGATAATGATTGAAAGTATCAAACTAATCTTTTGACTTATTAAATATACTAAATTTTTTGTTATTAGTATAAAAATACTTAAAATTTTAATATAGTATTTTTAATTATTCCAAAAAGTTTAAACCCAAAAAAAATTTTCAATATAAAAAGTTACAAATGGTTAGATAATTTTGTTTCCTACTGTAAGTATTATTAAAAACTTTATGAATCATCACAAGAAATCCGTTTATTATTGGATTTAACGCTGGCAATTTCTTGAAACTGTCTTACGCTCTAACAAAAAATGCTCTGTGAAATTTCACATACATGACATTGACATTTAATTATATAATCCCAGTTTCCTTTAAATCGTTCGTTTTTTGATTGATCGATCACCTGAAAATTCTTTTTCTTCTAAAATGTTAACGGTTTGCAAAGAGAATTTCGAAAAATTAAATTAGCGCGCTCGGGACTCTTATTATGGTGGAATGAAACCTACGCATCTTTATTTTTCATTGACTGATAGACTATAATATAGCAGTTTTTATCGCTAATTTGAAATATAAGGTTTGATGTATCGATTGTTTTTTTGCCCCATTAAAAAATATGAAAGCATGTGATGACAGTAACGAGAAGTTTTTTTGCCCCAAAAAATTGCGGGATCTGCATATATTCGCTATAAAATGTAAATCACAAAAAAAAAGCGAAAATTTAATAATGACTTTAAATTCAACCAACACATTTTCACCACCAGTCGACTATTTCATAAAGTTAGGAGAAACTATTGGCTACCTCGCCGAGCCATTAGTCAACCCATTAGAAAATATACTCGTATCCGCGTTAACAACTCTATTTCCTTCCATAAGCCAAAATGCCAAAGATTTTCTTGTGGAAAATGAGTCACCGTTCTCCGAGCGGTTACCACTTATGAATCCGTTTCATGTATTGCTTATCACGCTTTTCTATTTATCGGTGGTTTTTGTTGGTAAAAAAATTATGATGAATAAGACAAAATTTGATACGAAATTGATTAGCACGATACACAATTCATTCTTGGTCTGGTTGAGTGCGTACATGTGTTATGGAGTGCTGAGCGAAGCATGGAATCAAGGGTATGGTTTATTTGGTAATCCTGAGGATAAAAGTGAGCAAGGGTGGCAGGTGTGTTTTTATATGCGTGCAATTGTGAGTTTGTCCTGTATATATGCGTGTATGTATTAATGAAGGGATTGAATTCTTTTAGATGGCAAAATATATTTGGTTATTTTATGTCTCGAAAATTGCAGAATTCACGGATACTTATATAATGGTGTTAAAAAAAAATAATCACCAAATAACATTTCTACATGTGTATCATCATTGTTCAATCTTTATCATTTGGTGGTTAGTCACTTATGTCGCACCAACTGGAGAAGCGTACTTTAGTGCGGCGCTAAATTCTGGTAATTATTATTTCAAATTAATTGATGCATTCAACAAACTTTTTTCCCAGTTTTCATTGACGATGATAAACGCCCAATAGCTGTTCACGTGGTGATGTATGGCTATTACTTGAGCACCACACTCTCAGTCCCAATTCGATTCATCAAACGATACATTACCCTTTTCCAAATGACACAATTCATGTTAATGATGATTCAAGCAACCTACGATATGCTCTTATTTAAAGTGTTAAAACCGGACGCAAAACAAAAATACCCATTCGTGTTAACCGCGTTACTTTGGGTTTATATGTGGACGATGTTGGGATTGTTTGCGAATTTCTTTATCGCTGATCGAAAGCGTGAGCGTGAGGCAAAGGCTGCATTAAAAAAGAAGTCGCGTTGATGATTTCTGAAATTTGATCAAAATCTTTGATGTTTATTTATTTCCTCGACGTGGAAAAATTAGAATTTTTGGCATATTAAAAAAATTGATCATTCAAAAAAAAAATTTAACGAAAATTTCGAGCACGCGAATTTTGTGATTGGTTAAATCTTAAGCGAGTTGTGTTACATCGCTTATTTTGTCAATTTCGTCTATTAATAAAAACTTGCATGTAACTCGGGTTTCTCGGAAAGTTTTAACTGCACGTTCCATAAATACACAAAGAAATGATATCATGTCACTTTTGGCACAACAAATCAATAATCTAATTCGAGATAGGGAAAAAGGAGAGAAAAATCAATTGTAATTTTTGTTTCTTATGTTTCTAAACAGTTATAACAATATCCCATTAATCTTCTTACTACTTCTTGTCCCAAAAAGGATGTTAAACATTATATTGCACACAAGACCCACATGTGCATACAATATAAGATCTACAGAAACTCTAGAGTTAGGCCTTAATACACATATTTACACGAAAAAAAAAAGGGGATGAAGCGTATTATCTTGTCAAAGACGTTAACGTAAGGAACGACATTGTGGAGGAAATAAAATGAATGCATGTGCGTGAGCAACTCAAATCGGCTATTAATATAATGATCATTTTTGTATTATTATTGTTACTGTTAATCATGTACTATATGGTATAAAAAGAATAGAAGAGTTCTCGCGGTTTTTGCTGGATATTTTTTTTTCGTCCCATTAAATCGTTACTTTACAATTGTAATACTAGTAATTTACAAAATAAAAAAATATATATATTTGCTTGATTCGCTTTTCCACATCCCATACGAAACCGAGAGAAGAATCGTAGATAAACAGATAGAGAGCTGGTTTCTCTTTTTGATATAAAACAAGATTAACGACGCGCATTTTTAATAAACCAGCTTAAGTCTTAAATTCTAATCTCAGTTTCAATCACAAGCAGATGGCAGCCAACATTCGACGCCTTTTAACGACGATATTACAACTATTTTTCGTGCTGCTTTTCTTATTCTATTTAATAATAAACACGATCGTTGATGTGGCTCGATCAAAACTAGTTTATACGACACTGACATTCGAGACAGCGACGGGATTACCACCGCCAGCTTTCACTCTTTGTAGTGACGATGTAAAGTATCAATTTCAGTGTACGCTTTACGGAAATACGACAAATGGTTGCCCTGATTTGGTGACTAATGTTGACGTGTCAGCAAATGCTGATTATAATAATTGGTTTACTAATTGTTACGTAAGTGTTAATTAAAGAACTCATATATAAAAGTTAAAAATAATCATATACTGTATATTCATATATATCTTTAAATATATTTAAATTAGGTATTTCAAACTACTCAACCATTACTTAAACAAACACCGCCTTCACCACCGAAACAATGGACGGCATTTCAATCACCATTTTACATCAAATACCAACTAAACGCATCAACCATATCGAAAATGAATTTAATGATATGGAATCCATATGATTTAACAAATAATAAATCGTTATCGCAACTGCAAATTCTCAATCCATATGAGATATCTCAATTCGATGCGTGTAAAGAACGTGTATATACATTCAACTGGCAAAAACACGTGTTTCTAAACGGCACCGAAAAGTGGGATGTAGATTGGCGCGCAGAAGTTGGTGTCGCTTCGAATGCATTCGGAACAAATAGTTCGGCCATTGGCGTAATTCACTTTAAACCGGGGTCTTTTGAAGTGCCAACAACACGTGAATACACTTCTTTCCCGTTTATCTCAATTCTCACGGGATTTTTGGTGTTATTGGCCGCGTTATATTCCACATACTACGCTGTGATTGGTGGACGTGGAAAATATCGTACTTGGGGTTGTGTTCATATGATCACTAGATATTTCCCGCAAAGACACTTAATCCCGCCTGAAGATCCTAATCAAGTCAAACCGACTGCTGATGATATTCTTTGGGCGTATTTGGATGGTTTAGATAAAGCGGAATTCGACAAAAAATGATAATTTTTAATGTTTCGAGTTTTTTGTAAAATATTAATTTATTCACGAGTAATTTATTTTGTACATTATTATATTTATATTTTTATTTTTATTTATAACAATTATGGGACTTAATTTTCCTTACTGCTCTATCCAATCTGTTTTCATCACTTATTCCACATTCTCCTTACTCTGCTCTTTCTTTCCTTTTAATCCCATCAAACTCAGAAATTGGCAATCAAAAAATAAAGATCGAATAATGATGACGCTTTTTATTATGATTACATGTTATGATGATGGGGATAATGATGGTGATGATGATGATTATTATCAATTATTTTAACTCAACAAATGAATCTCGTATTTTTCTGTGATTACATTTGAAGTATTATCATCGGATAATTCTCGCTAATTCATAGAAACTTTTAAACACTTCGCCTTCGTAAAAATCATCGAATTTTCTGGATGAAGATGATCTAAAAAAATAATCTAATCAAATCAAAAAGTTTTGATTGAAATTTGAAGAGCACTAAATTTTTTTTACAATATACGAAATTTTACCCAGCTTCAGCCACCCCATTCTTATCATATATTGGGGTCACTTCGATCGTCGGTTTACCAGCACATCTAATTATTTTTGAATCTATCTATCAAAAGATTAATTAATCTGACCGTCATTAATTTAAAATTCCTTACCGCTTAAATATTCTAATAAAAGGAACACAAACTACCACTCGATTATTTTCTATTTTACATTGATATTGGACCATTTCCTGAAGAATGCATCTTTGATTATCTTGTAATGATTCTGATTGTGATTTGGTGAATTTAGTCATTCTTTTTTTTTACCTTGTTTTAAAGTAAATGATTAACAATTATTTATAGAAAAAATTAAAATGGGATGAAAAACAATAGACAGTAACAATTCAGCTATTCATCATCATATCAATATATATAGTTTATAATAAGCATTTTATGAAATTAGTAATGATTTGCATTCATATGTGATCTATTTCCGATGTATCGATGAACAATAAAATGTTTCGATTTTAGAAAGATTTAAGGAATTTGAAGACGGAGCCGTTTTTTCATTGATTAAGGAACAGTAATGGGATTTTTGCTGTTTCGGTAAATGTGCTGCCAATATGTCATTTAAAAAGAGAACCTACTCTTAGGAGATTACAAAATGAACGTTATCATAAATTAATCTTAAGGAAAGTACCGTTCAACGTAATTTCTTAAAAAATACCTATCTCCGACATCCGATATGATTAAAATAAGCAAGGATAATCCAAGTTCCTTTCTCTTTATAGTCCCTTTATCAAGTTAAAGATGCAAGCACCGTTCATCGATCGGAAATTGTCGAGGGTTTTACACAAAGCATGTATATGCAACCCTTGATCAGCGTCTGTCTTATAAAGGACCTTTGATGCAGCAGGAAAAATCAAAATTTTTCTTTTACAGCCATTTTTCTCGCCTGTTCCTATAGGTTAATTTTGATCTCGTTTGAAAGAGCATAATTTTTTAGAGTTGAAAAGATAGCGAATTTCTTTGGTTTGTCATCTAAATCTTATTTCAGAAAAGGGTGAAGGTCTTTTTTATTATTGATATTTTTTTTTATGGATGATCAGATTTTTTGTCAGTGGGATTCTTGATTGCTTTTTCTATTTATAAAATTGATAATTTACCTGTTTCAAAATTAAACAAAAAATTCAATGTGTTGGAAAAGATTAAATACTATAATAGGTTAGATGATTGCATAGATTTTTAATGAAGTATCGTTTTCTTTTTCGATTTATTTGAACAAGTTTTTTTTTTTTTTTTACTTTATCCAGACAGTTACATGTATTTATTTTCATACGTTTGACCACTTATTTATTCTTTTAATAAACCCCTGTTTCGCCAAAACCCTTTTCCGTAACTAACCTAAGAATAAATAGAAAAGTAAAATGATTCAATTCATGCTAGAGAAAAAAAGGTGCATGTTAATGACAAGTACTTGCCAAAATTTCATCTCCTTTCTTTATTTTTCCAATGCCCGGCATTACCCAAACACCCATTTTCAATTCACCCGTACGTGCATCGATAAATTCGTTAAAAGCAGCATTCGGCTTAGCCGCAATGCTTCTATAGTCATTTATGAATCTTGCCTCACTTCCTAATTAATAATAATAATAATAATAAAAATAGCCAATTTACTCCAAGCTTACAAAAATAAATACGCAATATAATGATAATTAAGATGACACCGTGACATTTGTGGATAATATTATAAAATAAGAATAATAAGAGGCAAGCAAACCAGATAAATAAATTGATGAATACCTTGTTTCCAACCATCAATACAGAGTTCTTTTCCAAATCTCAACACATAATTATTATCGATATTATCCTTTTCATCATCATCTCCTTTATCGTTAATATTGTTCCTGGTGTTAATTCGTCCAGTTGTCGTGGTCACTTTTCCTGTATAGCATACAATCAATTCTCGCTCTCGTAAATCTTTTTTCGCGAATAAGCCACGTCCGGGTGCTGCGGGATGATTTGAATTCGAAAGGGAAAGTATTTTCACTACAGGGCTTGGTTGCGACGGTGGCGCAAATACAATTGGAGGTAATGGGGAGGAGGTGAATGGATGATTCGGATATTGTTTGGTTAAATTTTGATCACTAAAGTGGTTCCTGATGTTTGTTGATAAATCATTGGGTGAAAAAATGTTTTCACTCAAGTATTTGATCTCTTTGGGCCAATTTGGTGGAATTCTCTTTTTCTCTTTATTCGTCGTCATCATCCCTATTATCTTTATTAATTATTATAACCTTAATTAAATTATAATTATTTATTATCAGTTGGCATCAAAAGGACAATCAATTTAGCGGACATAGGAAAAGCTTGATTCTCATTGGTTAGTTGCCTTTGTGTCATCACTTCACAAACTCAACTCGCTCCGTTCTTTTTAGGAATTACTATCATTTCAGATATTATTAATTCACGTTTTCTATTGTAAAAGACACCGAAAAAAGTTTAAATAGAATTAAGAGAAAGAAAGATATTCTTTGATTTTTTTCTTTACTTTTCCTTCATCTTTTTACTCATTTTCGATACTTTGAAGCCACGTCATCAACCTAAAAAACGTATCCCTCAGCCAATCATTAGCCTCATAACTGTTTTGATATTTCGTTCATAGCACCTCGACTCACACTCGCTTTTTCAACTCTCAAAATATTTTATATACAAATACTGCGCACGACACAGAAAATTCATTCCCTATTTTGAAAAAAAGAGTTCATTCTCACCCAACCCACTTTACAAATGTCGCCGTCTTCCTCTCTAAACATGTTACAAAACTCGGACGAGTCAGCAACCACTAGTAGCACACCACTGACAACTTCGTCGCCAACATTTCCACCTACCCATTCGACAACGACGGACCCGAATGACGAAGTCGGCTCATTGTATCACAAAATATGTACGTAAACAACATTATTCCTTTATAAAATAGATGAATGTTTCGCGTGTCAAATTTCTTTTTTTCCTCGTTTTTCTTTTTGTTTCTGATATTTTTCTGTCGTATACTTTTTTCGAATGCCTATAAATAAATAAAATATATATAAAAGTAAATAAATAAAAAATTTTCTATTTTTGGTTAATTTATTTTTTTCATTTATGGTTTTTTCAGTCGCTGACCGAGGTCCGAATAAAAGAAAAATTAAAATGAAGGCAATCGACCAGATTGCTTTAGATGTCACAGCTGACGATGACTCCGAGTATCAAGCTAGCGAGAAAGGAACCGAGCAATACGACACCGACTCGGCGACAATTGTGAGCGGCAACAATTCAGGTCAGGACGTCGAGGTCGATATCGAAACAGAAACGGAAGCCGCTCCGAAGACTAAAGCACGGGGAGCTGACGATTCTGAGACTATCGATCCCGAAGACACAGACGTTTTGGTAAAGAATTTTTTGAAAAAATGGGTAAGGTACCACGCATACATTATGGGATAACCGTTTGTGTTTTGACGTTTGTTTTTCGTAAAAATATGATTTTTTCGTTGATTTAACTCTCCTTTTTATAAAGAAACTCGAGGATCCTGGAATATGCTGCATCTGTCTCGAAGGTGCGACCACAGAAAGTAATATGTTGGTCTATTGTGATGGAGATGAATGCGAAGTAGTGTGCCATCAAGGTATAAAAAAATATTAACGTTACTTGTTGTATTTATTTGGTAATGTTTATTGATTCTTTGATTCTTTGTAATTATCAGAATGCTACGGAATCATCAACCTGCCTGGTTCCGATGAACCGTGGTACTGTGATCGTTGCTTGGCTTCCGCGCCAGAATGTGTGGTATGTTTTGCTCGACTGGAATTTCAATAAGATTCTCGTTATAAACATCATGCGTTTCTTGAAGATTTTCAATCTCTCCCTTCATGTTTATAGTCGTGTATACTTTGTCCGAGTAAAAATGGCGCATTTCGCCGGCTTAAAGAAGGCGAAAGATCTGGTGGATGGGTGCACATTGTGTGTGCTCTGTGGATGCCAGGAATGTGGGTTGGTAACAATATTGAAATCACCAATATCACAATTGAGAATGTCGACCAAAAGAATTGGTCAAAGGTATGTATTTTTGCTACTGTCTTCCATAAGACATCTTTTTTCGTGATTTGATCAATAATTTTCTGCATATTTTTAGATTTGTTCCGTATGTCCATCCGAGATAGCAAGTGAAGGTGCAACAATACATTGTGATGCAGGGGGATGCAAAAACTTCTTGCATGTTACATGCGCACACTCAATGACTTTACTTGAATGCATAGATGACGATCCAAATATATCGGACCCATATTTTGTGGTATGAGCTATCCCTCTGTTTATTTATGGATTTCTTAATCTGTGATATTTGGTTGAACGACGTGTATTGCTTCTAGTATTGCCAAATTCATGGATCACATGGTCCAGCTAAACTAAATGATTGGGAGAAATGGTATCGACGTCGGGACAAGTTTCTCGAGAAAATAAGAAGCAAAGAGAGCAAATTACGCGCACAAAAAATGGCAAATGAAGATGAGGATTTTGGCACGAGCTTACGCGAACTATTTGAGGATAAGTATGCGGAATATAGAATACGTCGTGAAACGCGGATTGCTTCGAGTAGGCGAAAAGTCGCCGAAGCTACCTCTGCGATTAACATCTTGAAAGAGCAAAAAGAAAAGTCGAAATCCGCAGAGACTGAGCATGATGCAAAAATCGAGGAAGCCCGAAAAGAACGAGAGGCACTTCAAAATTACCTTAGTTCTGTGCGAGAAAGTCTGAAGCTTTGCTCGCGATTAATATATGCTTTTCCGATGCAATTGAATTGGGCCGAAAGTAATGTCAATCGAGAGCGGGATACAGTCGATCAATTCAACGACCTTTTATCGCGACCTGTAGTTTGGGAACCTAAGGCCGCGATAATTGCAAGAAGTATTGATGTAGAGAATCTAGATACAAGTTCCATGGCTCCGATAGGAGTCAAACCCCTAGTAGTTACCCAGACTCCTACCCCTAAAAGGAGGGGAAGACAATCAACTGGTAGACGAACAAGAAAAGTTGGCCGTAGATCGAAAAAAGTCGCGGATGAAAAAGCCGCGAATGTCATCACGCCTCAACCAAGGACATCGTTAGATGTTGGATCTTCCGCAAAGCCACCACCTAAAAGGAAAGGGCGTAAATCTAAGAAACAAAAAGAGCTAGAAGAGCAGCAGAAAAAATTAGAACAACAACAACAACACGAAGAGCAACCGCAAGAAGTTGACGAAGAACCTAATGAAGAAGAACAATCTCAAGAACTTGAGAATATGGAATTCGAGGAAGATCATGACGATGACAAGGAACAAGATCAAAAAATATTTCCGACTAGAAATTCTGTTGTTCGACCACCACACGAAAATGGGAATGTCGAGATGACTATCGAAGCGAATCATGAAAATGACAATGAAAATGAACACATTAGTAATGAAAACGATAACATAGACATGGAGGAGACTATTGAAGTTAATCGTAAAGCAAAAAATGCCGAGGGAAGAGAACAAATCAATCATGCAACTGAAAATGCCGAGGATAATATTGATATTGAAATGATTCATGAAGATGAAAATAAGAATTCACCACCATCACCTTCACCATCGCCATCACCTCCATCTCATCCTCATCAAATTATGTTTAGAAGACCACCACCCGAAATAATTAATGGTAAACAACCAGAATTCGTTTTTCAACGGGTCGTCTTCGAAAATCACAGATTAGTGTTGAAAGATCAGCGTGAAAATGAATATCAAAAAGCGCAACAGCAGAAACAACAACAAGCTTTATACGAAAATTCACTGAACAACCATAATCTCTACCACAATAATCACCATGGTCAAAATCCTCATCTACATCAATCATCATCGTCGTCATCCTCTTCGCTGGCTTCACTATTAAATGGCAATGATTGGCAGTCGCGACCAATCCAATATTCGCAATATCATCCAAATAATCATCAAGTGAATTACAATCAACATCATCATCATCAACCGCAATTACCTCAATTACAACCTCAGACGCATCTACAGCCACTTAATCGAATTATTCCGGATAAATGGACGGATATTTCTTCACAAACATTATCATCTAATAACAATAATAACATTAATAATGTTAATAACATTATTCATCATCTTCCCTATACACGCACTTCACTTCCACCTAATGCGTCTACATCCCCGCAAACATTAGCTCTTCCCTATCCTCGAAATTCTTCTCCACCAATTTCGCAATCATTTCCATACAGTAATAACTACAATAGCAGCAAAAACATCAAACAACCTCGTTACAACTCTCCGCCACCTCGTTCTGCTCCAGTTTCGCCACAATCATATCCATATAATATTCCTTACCACATTTCTCATTCTCCGTCTCCGCCGTCCCCTCGTCATTCTTCACCGATATTGCCTTATAATAGCAATAGCAATAGTAATAATCATAATCATCATAATCATCATAATCATAATCAGAGTCCATATGCTCATTCTTCTACTTTGCCTTCCACTTCGCTTACACCTACAACTATTCCCGCGGCCACACCGAAATCTCTCACTCCAGACACGCCAGTAGCAAATTCAGTAGCAAGTCCAGTGACACCAGCATCAGCCTCGTCAACAGTAGCCACGCCCAGAACATCAACAACAATAACCGCAACGACAACTTCAAGCCAGCCTGTAAAACGCAAACTTGATGAAATGACACAAGACCAAAATTATAGTGGTTCCGATAGTGAACTGAGTGGCCCGGAGGAGACTAATGACATTAACGAGGTTACCGAGATAGAAAGACAGCCGAGAATGATTAAAAGAGGCAGGCGAATTACTAAAGTCGGCAGACCCTCAAAATATAGAAAACCTTTAGGACGACCGTCAAAAAAACCACAACAAAAACCAATAAAGGTAAAACTTCCTCAACCCATTTGTACAGTCTGTGATAAAATTGAACCGCCATTAAATGACCAAGCGCCCGAATCGTATGTCACTCCCACTAAATCGCGAGCAAAAAGTATCATGAATGGTCGGGATAAAGTACACCGTATGATTCGCTGTGGATTTTGTGAAAAATGGTTCCACTTAGCTTGTATCAACCCTCCAAGAAAGACTATGCCATCACCGTAAGTGTGGGAACGATATTTGTTTTTTTTTTGGGCATTAATTTTATTATTAATTGTATTTTTAAACAATTCTTGTAGAGGGTTCGTATGGCAGTGTGAAGAATGCGATACTCAATTGCACTAACTTCTTTTGCATTTATTGATTTTGAATTATACGTAGACGCATTTTCAACATCAATGAATTTTTGTGGAAGATTTTGTATCGAAAAATGTAGTTAACTATGTATATATTATCTTTAAGCAAAACTTGCGTCTTTGCATTTTAGTGTATAATTTATGAGAAAAAAAGTGATATGTATATAGCTTTTGAATAAAATCGATAAATAAAATTTACAATAATGAATTCCTCAAATTCTGACATAAAATTATTTTTCATCCCCATCGAATGAACTTCTCTTCGATAATCTACAATGTAAGGTTGTTCATGTTTTATCCAATTTCGATATGGTCTATTAAAATCGATACGACGTAAATAGAAACGTGAAAATATTATTTCCCCAAGATGGGACCATTTCATTTAATTTTCCGCTTCGTTTTACCTGGTACTGGTATTACAAAAACCTCTCGGCTGAAATCAGCACAGATGATATATTACGAACCGCATTTTATCGGAGTCGTTAGATATTGTTATAAAACGTTTGATCGCTTCACGTATCACCTAAATCGACATTTTTTTTGTTTTCCAAAAGTTTAATTAGTTAATCCAGAGGAGCACAAAAGAAAATCCAGTTTATTTTATTTATCATGTTAAATCTGATCCAAAAATCTAGGATTTTTTTTATCGTCTAGGTAAAACCAACAAGATAAACTTCATCGAACCATTGCTTCTGATGAGACACCTTTTCCATTACTTATTTTTTTTCTGCTCACGTTACTTCTGCTGATAGTAGATAATTAAAAGCATCTATATAAATCTTGACATGTAACAAAAAAGCTTATTTGTCTCACCCAGCATTTAAAGTTTGCTTGCAGAATCTTTAACTTGCATGTGAAAATTTCTATGTGAGCATATTTTTTACGTTTAGATGTTTGATAAAGTTCCGGTTTACCGAAAAACTAAAAATAAGCAATTTTTTTTAACCTAAAAAATGAAAATACTTTTAAATAACTTGCTTGGATAGTTTCACCTATTCCTACCATACCTGTTTACTCGTCGCTTCATGCCATGTCTTAAATCCAAATGAAGAAATTAGGCTTTCTCGGTGAATTGGTGATACGATTATGGGAAATAATCGTGTTACTTTAGCAAGAGGATAACTTAATTTATCAAAATTAATAATGACTTGTTTAGCATAATAAAAAGTCATTTATCGACATATTTGCTTTTTCTATGGTTAGTTCTGGCCATTCAAAGAATTTAACATGTTCATAGATTTTTTGGACCTATAGTCTAACATATAAGAATAAGAATACTTATAATAATTGTAGTAGTATTAGTAGTGGTAGTATTAGTAGTATTAGTAGTAGTAGTATTAGTAGTGGTGGTAGTAGTAGTATAGTAGTAGCGGCAGCAGCAGCAGTAGTTTTATTGATGTCCCGTTCTCTTCCTGTATTAGTAGGACACAATATGAGAAAGATGGTGTTAACATTTTTATTTATGATCAAGTGATGCGACACCCCTTTCAATTTTTCAGGATTCTTGGCTAATGCTGTCGTAGGTAAGAGCAGGTACTGATTGAGTGCTCGAGCAAGTATATGTAGCCGGGTGTGGTGTTAGCACGCACAAAGTGTAGATCTTGGCTAAATTTTTGATTGGGTAATATCGGGAAAAAAAATAGGTGCCACCTGTAAATATACTTGTTCTTATCCTCGAAACACGAAAAGTATAATACACATATCCATACGTCACAGAACAACAAAAGTTCAAAAAAAAAAATTACCCGCATGATTTTTTTGGATATTTTTGGATAGAGTATCCTTTAGAGTCTAACATGAGAGAGATAGATGGATAGATGCACGCTGCAAATAACAAACCACCATCCATTGCTACCAAGAGAAAATAAACAAACAATAACAAATAAACCGATCATCTTTTTGTTGCGTTTGTTCGAATGAGATCTGAATGAATAGTAATACCAATTAATTGGTATTATGATAATAATATCGCACTGCAATTTATGCGTGTCCTTGGCTAAGTTTTCCTTCCATAAATTTTTATTATTTACTTGAATAATAGAAATGATATGCATTCATTCACTCGTACGCTATATTGATTCGTACGCGCACATACATTGACATACGAATTATTTTCCGTATTATTATTTCCCTTCCTCTCTATCTCCCTCGCTCTCTTTGTAACCCACGTTACTTTTCGCTTGATTCGCAATTTCTGCCTGTAGTTTAAATTCATTCAGTCAATGCACTGTGTCTTTGGATACAAATGTATGTACGTAACACTGAATTTAAGAGAAATGCAAGTAATTTCATTTCATAATTTTTTGATGATTTATGAAACCTTGGCGGTTATTTTTAACAAAGGAAATGTTTTTTTTATTATTAATGATGGTTGGTTGTCGTTTGCGTTATTAATTAATGATCCTCATTAAAAATATATATACATATATATATATATTCGGAGTATTACGTTAGTGATCTTCATTAAGATTATTAAATAAACCGTTTGTGATGTGACTCAAATGATCAATGTGAAAGTCAGCGTTCTCGATCGTCGCCGCAGTTGTCATCGTAACTCTGAATTTCGCATTAAACTTTTAAAGGAAAACCACTCATCTAAACTAAAGAAAGAAGATATCCCCCCTTTTTGTTTCAGAATCTTTATTTTTAGGTATTCATCATCGTTATTATCCGCTTACAGATATGAATTGAAAGCCTAAGACACCCGTGAAATATTGAAATCACAAGGAAACCAAAAAAATAAAATAATAATTTCTGATACTCCTATCGCCTTGCATCACCACATTAAAAAACATAATGATGATGAATAATTCTTTGTGAGATTAATTATATGCTGATTATTTATCTTGGCAGGTTAATTAACGTGGGATCGGAGCATACGCCTGAATTAGTCAAATGGTTCATTTTATAATTCAATAATTTTACCATACTTGGAAGTTCAGACCACACACATGTTTGCTGTGATTCACCTGATTCACTGTTACACACCAACGCGCTATTATAAACTTAATTTAACGCTAAGGCGCGCTTCCTAACATTTTGTTCTTTGAAAACAAACAATCAACAGCTATCGATTGATATGTAAACATGGAACATAAGGGGTGGGGGAAATTTATACTTTCTTTTAGCAGTTAGGTTTGGCTGTTGAACAATTAATGAATGAGAGAAAATGCGAATTCTTGATTATACTTCGCATTCGTCTTAAAAATTCTGCGTGATAAAATAAATGGGATGGTAGATACATCCGTATATGTAGTTATGTACGTTCCTACATAAAATTAAATGCATTCATTGTCGATTTGTATTCATAATGCGCATTCATTTTAAAAAAAAAAAAGTGTTGATGTGACTAATGAAATTAATAATACTTTGTTACGGAAACACTAAACTCTCTCTATTATTATTACTTATTATGACCGAGAACCGTGACATACCCCGACACGCAATGCATGTATACATGAACATCAGTAAGACAGTCAATTAGTTGAACTTGCTGCTGTACTTGATCAAATGTGATGTAACCATCATGATGATGTTGATGATGATGTGGTGATTCAGTATATATATATTATGTACATGTATAAGTCGTGCATTGGACAAAACTTTGTTTATTGTCAGATATCTCAAAATTGAATTGATTTCTTGTTTCTGTGTATATGATGTGTTTGTGCGTGCATAATTGTTTGCTAAGAAATTTCATCGTTTAATTAATTGTTTGTATACGAGTGGGATTAATTGATTTTTTTGGAAAATTGCTTTTTACACGCGTTAATGCAGCCAAGAATTAGAAAATTAAACGCGAGGATACTAAGAATAGTATTCTCATCATTTCATACTCGCCATCATTAGAATAGTAACGGCGAAATAATACTAAGGAATTCAATATGCTATCATTGCATTTGATTATCATGTATAAATAAAGCATCAATGGACGTACAGTAGAATGGGGAAGTAATTTTCAAGTATTTTAAATGAAGTGAAAGTCTCGCCACAACAAAGAAGCAAGATCCACGCGTGCATGAGTGTGACTGATAGATGTAAATTAGGAAATACGAAATTCAAAATGCGTCGTTGTTGAAGTCATCATCTTATTTTTTTTTATTATGATATTACCTTATCTGTATTTATTTCATTTTATTTATGTGAGGTGGGAAATGAAAGGAGATGTGGATGATATCAGGGAATAGATAGTCGGTAGTAAAATCAACAATATTTATTTCATTAAATGCATTTCAATATTTATTTCATTAAAGATATTCCGGATAAATATATTTTCGTTTGTCCATGATATCAATAATAATATTATTATTGATTAATATTAAAGAATCCCCACATTATCTTTTAATTAGACCGCATCTCTTTCTTGGTTTATATTTTCCAATGCACAGGCAGACTAACCGGTAAACAAACTTGATAATTAATAATTGATTGAACGTAATCTTTCTTGAACCCCAAATCTGGTTTCAACGATAACAACTTTTTTTTTCACTCTAGTGCGTTAATGCAGCCATTAGCTGCATATGATCCTCGGGTAATTTTCACCCAACCGAGGCCCCTAATATGTGATGTTAAAGAAAAGTGAAAGGAGGGTGTGACCCTAAATTTTTATGTTGAACACCATTTGTTTTTTTTTGGTTTGTGGTGTATATAAAAATGTCTATACTATATATGACTAAGTAAAATAGAATAAATAAATGCAGTTTCCCCTCCGGACCTTTGAACCTTAACATACACACACTTTGTTAATTTCTCGAAAAATTTTTTTTTCATATTTCTTCCAAATTTCTTTATTCTTTCGCCTCTTTTCATACCATCACCCGGGCATAATAAAACAAAATTCAACACTCGCACACACATAATATAATAACAATAACAATAATAATAATATTAAATGATAAATAGGGAAAAAACAAATAACAAATAACAATAACAATTAGTCAAATAAATAATAGAAAGATTTTTGTTTTTGATGTTTCCTTCGTCTTTGCAACAACAACACTTACATACACACACACGCGCGCATACATCCTTCCATAACAATAACAAGACTTTTAACACACACTTCAAATTCATCATTATTATTATTAATAATATTCATTGCATAATTTCACCTCTTGTTGTTGTGTTGTGTGTCGTGCTTTGTTGTTGTTGTCTCTCGTGGTTTCGCTAAACTGCATAAACATTATTATTATTATTATACATAGTGTATAATAATCATCATAATATATATATTTATACACGCACTATATATGTATATGAGTGCATACATACATAAATACTATATTTATTTTATATTATTACTATTTTTTTAGTCAATTCTCTTTTTATATTTCCTCCTCTTCTTCTATTTCTTTTGTGCTAAATCTTCTGTTGCTGCAGTGGGTGGTCTGTGTGTTTCCTTTCTAACGGTTAATAATATCACATATATATATTTTTTACTCCAGTCTACGCATATTGTCTACACAACGTATAAAAATATATATACACGTCACATACCAAGAAAAAAAGTAGAAACGAACATACTTTTCTTTCAAATTGCACTAATATTACACACGCACATACTTAAAAAAAAAATTAATTAATAAAAAATACCACGACACGACACGTTACGACGAAAAAGAAACACACAGCCGCCGCACACTGAAGTATATATATATCTGTATAACGAACCACTTTTGTTTCACTTCTTACCTGAATTTATTATTCTTTGTTTTTTAGTTTCTTAACACTTCGGGTTATTGAGTTTCTTCTCCTTTATATCTCTTTTCATATAAAGAATATTCTATTCTATTCTATTTATCGTGGGGGAGAGAAAGCAATTATTTTTTATATTCTTTATTAAATTTATTATTATTTTTTTTTCCATTTAATACATTATCCTCTTGATATTTCATCTTATTGTGTATATATCACGTTGTTCTTTCAAAAAACGAATCTATCAAATTCTCAATACGCGAGGATCAATTTCAATTCCAAAATTAACAACCACAATAAAAATTGCAAACAAAAAAAATCACCTCTGCATTGAGGAGACAGGATAACGACGGACAAAGGTGGAAACAGAAGAGAAGAGCGCAGAATCAAGGAAATTTTCGAAAAAAATTGTCACTTGAGAATCAATCGATCAATCAAAAATTGAAAAGATAAAAAAAACAAAGCAAAAAAAGAAGAACCAAAAATTAAATAAAAAAATCCAACCCAAGAACAATAACATTTTAACATTAAGGAACAATAAAATACTACAAACATGAACCCCAATGATTCATTATCAGCAACAGGAATAGGCGCGACAACAGGGATGTCATTGCTCTTACCCTATGATGTTTACGATCCAAATTCTCATCTAACATCAGTATCAGTATCGGGAACTTCGAATGCTGTCAGCACATCACCTGTTAATGCGGAAATGGATGGATTTCCGGAGGAAGGGGGGAAATACGATCTTGATACTGTGTCTGTTTTCGTCGCGAAACTCTATCAGTAAGTAAAAGTAAATTATACAAATTGATTTTATTTGTCTTTGTTTCACGCGAGTACAAGATCATTGATGCGTTCACGTCATCTGGTACCACGAGAAGAAATTAATCACAATTTTCCTCGTATCAGTCGCATTAACCAAGTTATGATTTTTTCTTCTTCTTGATAACAGACTGCTGGACAGCGACGAATATAAAGAATACCTTACCTGGAATGACACGGGTGACGTGTTTGTAATATGTAATATGGATGAATTCGCGGCAAACGTATTACCTAAATTTTTTAAGCATTGTAAATTTACGTCTTTTGTTAGGCAATTGAATGTAAGGGTTTTTTCTAGTGCTTGAGTAATTCAATTTGATGATCACTAATAATTTTATACATATTAGATTTATGGATTCTATCGAGTTTCAGATGCACGTAAATCTAAACATGTTCGTAGTAAACATGCGTGCGTATTTTCGCATCCACAATTCCGTCGTAATCGACAAGACCTGTTAACAAACATCAAACGCAAAGTATCAAAACCGAACAAAAAAAGAGCAAGACCAACAGAGTCATCCTCATCTTCAGTAGTGGGAAATAACAATAATAGTATGGTCACATCTCCGGTGGATGGATACGAAACAGCAGCATCAACTGGTTTAAAACGTGGTTTTCCAGATGACAAATCGGATAACAACAATAGTACGTCGACTTCACCCGTCGATGCTACGATAAATCGTTTTTTAGTCCGTGCATCATCTGACGCTGGAAAAGACTACATTCCAGGTGACGGCGGTAGCAATAATCATCATCACAGCAGTGAAGCTGATTTTCTAATGCACGATAAAATCGCAAAGTTAACCGCCACCACAGATAACCTACGTCAAGAAATGAAGGACATGAGCAATTTTGTTGCTGATCGATTACTCCCGGAAGTTAAACGTCTTGCTGATGATCTAAGCAAACACCAGAGTCATCTTGTGGCATTAACTCAATTGGTTACTGCTTCATACCCCGATGGTATTCTTCTTTAATTTTCATCTCATGATTCATTAATCGTAACCTGATTTTGTTCTGACATATTCATTAATTTTGGTGTTGATGCTATTAGGAAATGCTTTATTGGAGAATGCATTACGTAATTTTCATAATCAACATGGATTTTCAACGACAGACGCTTCATCAAATTATATTATTCCATCAAGAAAGCGTATACGAATAGATACCAATATGGATACTGCCGCTGCTAATGTCGATATATCATCTGGATCAGGTGCTACGATAAAAAATGAACATACAATTGGAACCACATCGATACCATATGGTGGATTATACCCGAATAATTCTCATTACAGCAAGAATCAAGGTCATCACACGCATGAACCGATAACCTCAACCACAGTCCCATCTTCTATCACAATAGCATCGTCGCCTCATGATTCACATCCACATCATTCGCATAATTTTGGGAGTTTCGCAGGTTCGCTCATGACCACCGGATATCATCCACAAAATAATCCAACATCACCGTCCACATCGGTTCCTACGTCCGCATCTACAGGTTTCAATGATTCATGGAATACACCAACAGCTACAGTAATGATACAAGATCCTATTGGTTCATATAATTTTTTACCTACCACTTCTAATCATTCTCCAATACTTTATTCTCCTACCCACCATCACCATCAACAAACATCATCAGCATCACAACAGCACTCCCCTCAATTACAGCAACAATCACAATCATCACCTCATTTGCATCACCAACAACAATCACCTCAATTACAACATCAACAACAACATCAGCAGCAGCAGCAACAGCAACAGCAACAACAACAACCATCACCAACACCAACAATAGTGAGTCCTTCTGTTGCATTTGTTGATAAAAATAACCGGGATAATAACAATAACCACCACAACCATAATAATAATGATGATGTAAATACGAATGATTTAATCTCAGCGAATTCATCAAAAATAAATGATGCAAATAATAATAATAACAGTAGAGGAAACAGTCCTCATAATCAGTCAAATCATCATAGAGATGATATTATCGGAGCTCCTTCACCTCACTCACCTGATGCTTCACCTCCATCAGGGAACAATTCCCTAACGAGTATTTATTCTCAAACTTCAATATTACCAATGAATATGTATGGAGCAAGTTTCGGAACTTATTGAAGATTTTTCAATCTCTGCTTATTTATCCGTATCATTGATTACGATGATAACTACAGAGAGAAGGCATAGCGCCATCAAAGAAAATAATTTTATCGGGAAGCTGACACTTTACTTCATTAGTGGACTCGAACTCTATATTATTTATTTCATTTATTTAATACCATTATTACGATTATTTATATTCAACATCTATCACAAAAGAACAATGTGTGCGTAAATCAACAAAATTTCAATGATCACAATTTTTCTGTGGAAAAGAAAATTCGACGCAAGGAATTAATTTTAATGATTAATTTAATGTCATTTGCTAAATTTTTCGGCTTTTCACGACAAAGAAGACAGCAAGATTGAATGAAGAACACGATAATAATTATTTCCAAAGAGGACAATGACTAAAAAGAGATACAAAAATCTGCTGATTTTTGCGTTCTTTTTTAATTGTATAAATTTTTTATTATTATTATCATTATTATTTATTTTCATTTTCCCTTTTATTTGTTCACTTTTCTTTTGTATTTTTTTTTTTCAATTGTATTCACCCTTTTTTTCTATTTTTACTATTTATTTGATTTTCTAGTAAAAATTAATTAATCTTAATTCTTATTCCCATCTATCTTTGTATACTTAATTCCACCTTTAATGAACGAACATGTACTCCAACACATCGGAGATGTTCTTTTTTTTTCTGATGATTTGTGCAATTATGCAGGTGAATCGAAGAAAGGATGAGTGATCGTTGGGATGAAAATTTTTAATGTTCGATGGGATATTTATCTTCATTACTACTATTATTGTTTTTCCCTCTAAAATTATTTTTTCTCTAATCTT